TTCACATCCCCGACCGGACCGCCCGCCGCCCCTCCTTCGCTCCGGCCTCGGGTGCGCGAGCCGCGGCCGGCCTTGCTTTTGGGGTTTTGTCTCTCCAGTTTCCACTCCTCTGTGCGCGGGCAAACCTGTGGCGATTTATTTTTCGCTCGCCCTCCGTTTAGCTCCTGCTGCTTTCTTCTGTCCCTCCCAGGCCCACTCCAATTGCCGCCCCCTGGGACTCCACTCTCCCCTCCCTCCCAGCTGACAACAGCTGGGTCTACACCTTCCCCCAGCCAGGAAGCCGGCTCAGGACCCTGTATCCTGTGTTTGTGGGGGTGCGAGAAAGAGCCCCCCCCCGCCTAGGTAGGGGTCTTTCCTTGTTGGTGTTGGGGAGCGGCGGTGCACCCCGGGCCTCAGCTACAATAGCAGCTCCCAGCACCCGATCGATCGATCCTTTCGCTTTCTTTCACACAAGAGCAAAAAGGGCGGAGACTGACCGGGCTCCAGCCCAGATGCCCCAGTAGTGGATGACATTAGGGGGTGACTCTGTCTCGGGGGGGGGGCTGTGCCCCCCCCAACATCAGGCCTGATCCCGTGCAGCACCCCACCCCCCTCAACCCACCGCCTCGCCAGGGCTGAGGCGGGTGGCACAGCCTACACCCACGTCCAGGACTCAGTTTCCCCCTTCTGCAAAGCCCTGTGTCTCGCTGGAGTCTCTTCCGGGACTCTTGGATTCTCCTGTTTAGGTCCTGGGAAAATAAATTGCTGTTTGAAAGTGTCAGGTACCTAAGTCCCTGGGGAGGTGGCTTAGGACATGGTAGAAATGGCTACCAGACCTGGCCTGGGCTGCCTGGGACACAGGTTTCCACAGAGGACACTCAGTCACATTTACATTCAGCGCTAGGTGAGCGGAGGGTCAGGGAGCGCTGACCCAGAAATATTAAGGGGTGGCTCCCCAAACCGGGGTTCCACATCGCATACCCACAACCCACTGCTGCCTCTTTTCTGGTGCGAATATATGACCCATACCACCACCACCACCGTCTGCCCTTCCGACTGTCACCTGTACGTATCTAAAATGGAGATTTAGCTCAGCGGTTCGGTGGCCTGCCTTGCAAGCTCAAGGACCTGAGTTCAATCCCTGGTACTCCCAAAAATTTTTTTTTAAAAAATAAAACAATAAAATGACCCCTTAGCAGCCCCCCCCATGCTGTCAGTTGAACCCTTTGAACCGAGCTGTATCCCCAGCCCTTTTTCATTTTTTTATCTTGAGATGGGGGGGGTCTCATGAAGTTGCCTGGGCTGGGCTGGAACTTGTGATCCTCCTGCCTCAGCCTCCCAGAGTTCTGGGGTGACCAGCGATCCACCTGGATAGGCTTCATTTGTGGTATTTGAATAGCTTGTTTGGGGGTCATGCAAATGATCGGTCAGAGTGTCACAGAGACAAGCTGCCAGTCAGCCGCCAAGTGGCACAGAGGGGCACCTGCTGTCAGGTGAATGGGGCCCACCCAACCCTGAGACACAGGTACCCAGCAACACTGTGTCTATTCGATTTGCTTACCCCCACTCCCACCCAGGCAACCATGTTCCGCTACCTACTGCAGGTGTAATAGATGGAGAAACGGAGGCCACGTTCACCCTGGCACTGACTCCTGATTCCTGCAGTGGCAAAGTCCCAGCTCCCCCAGCCAAGTTCCCTGTGTGAGAAACACATTAGAATGACAGTCCTGGGGCAGAGTGTAGTGGTGGGCAGCTGTCATCCCAGCATTCTGGGAGGCTGAGGCAGGAGGATCACAAGTTCAAGCCCAGACTGGGGGCTCTAAAGGGCTGGGATGTAGCTCAGTGCAAAGGTCCTGGGTTCCATGTCCAGTACTAAAAATAAAAAAAGTAGTGGGCAAAGCAGCGGGGAACCTGGGCACGCATGGGGCTGCAGCTACACCTCTGGCTCCACCTCCCAGGCCTAGGGCAGCCGGGTAATTAGGCCCTGACCAAGGCCTTTAGTTCCGGTCCCTGCACAAATGAAAAGCGGTTAAGTGGCGGCAAATCGCAGCGGTTAAGGGGGAGGCGGCCAGGCGAGACCCCACTCACCACGCAGCCTAGCACAGTGACAGCCCCAGAAGCCCGCAGGCACCCAGAACGTGCACGCACCCCTCCACCCCCAGAACTAGCCAGTGTCACCTGGGTTCCCGAGGAGTCCTGACCCACACAGCGACAGCCCAGTCCGCCCAATGCACTGCCCTGTCCTTAGAGTCCTGCCAGGGAGAGAAAGGGACACAGAAGAAAGATAGACATGAAGGAAGGACACAGAGGCTGCAGAAAGAAAATGAACTGAAGATAGCTGGGGGGAGAGAGAGACAGAGAGATCAAGAGACAGGGAGAGGAAGCGAGACCAGCAAAAGGACTCTGCTCCCAAGTGCCCCCAAACAAGGCCTCCTTCCACCCCGAGATCGCAGGGCAGGGGAGCAGAGCGGTATCTGTGATTTTTTTTATTTCACTGAGGCTCCCAAGAAACCCTGCAAAGACTTCAGAATTCTAGTCTCCCCCGCCTTCCTAGCTGGCGTGCCTCAGTTTACCCATCTGTAAAATGTGTGTTTTGGTGGTCTCAAGCCAGATCCTGGCCATGACTCCTGCCATCCTGGGTCCTGCTAGGCCAAAGCCCATCCTACAGCCCCCCAACCTCAGGATCCTCCCCACGCCCACCTCAGCGGGGACCTAAACTGCGGCTGCAGGAGAGGGGCTGGGGGAGGGGCAGGCTGGCTCCTCCTGGGGTGGGGGGTGGTCGATGAATTCGAATTACCGTCTCTAATTCATCATCGGCCTTGGTCGATAGCTTCTGCCGCCTTCAAATATTGTTTAAATTGCAACTCGGGAGGAAAAGTATTTTTTGTAACTGATCAGAAAGATATACATATATTTAATACAATATCAAAGGGAGGCAGATGAAAAGAGCCTGTTTCCTCCACCACCACGGGGCGGGCGGGAGGCCAGAGCCCAGAGTCCCTGAGGGATGGCGGAGACCAAATGGGGGAAACCAAGGCAGTGAGGGACAGACCCAGGGCCAACTGATGCTTAAGCTCTAAATGTAATAAATCGTGCTAAGGACGAAACCTGGAGCAGTTTCTAGAATTGAGCACCGGTGTGGACTGGGTGACAGCGGTGGTACTTAGTCCAAATTGGTGGTGGTCAGGCTGGGTGGTTGCCAGAGGCTGGGGTTCAAGACTGGTCCAAGGTGGGAAGGGAGCCCTGCCCCACCCAGCACCCACCCCAGCCTCCACCCAAGACGGGCAGAAGGGGGAGATCGCTCACCCCACAGCTGTGCGGTCCCAAGAGTGTGCCCAGCCCCTCACCTTTAATTAAAGACCCAAGCTCTAGCTGGGTGTGGTGGGGCACGCCTGTGACCCCAGTACTCTGGGAGGCTGAGGCAGGAGAATCTCAAATTCAAGCCAAGCCTGGGCAATTTAGGGAGACCTCATCTCAAAGAATAAAAATAAAAAGGGGCTTCAGGTGTAGCTCAGTTGCAGAGGTCCCAGGTTGAATCCCGAGTGCCGGGAAAAGAAGGAAGGGAGTGAGGGAGGAAAGAAAGGAGGGGAGACCTAACCTGGGCTCCATCTGTCCCTGACTGATCCTGGGCCGGAGCCTGAGCCTTGGTTTCCTCGTCTGAGAAACGGGCAGCGTTACTGGGCAGCTCAGGGAGTGGACAGCGGTGCTAGGTCTTGCCCTGAGGGTCTGGAAGGGACACGGCGGGCGCTTCTTGGGAGTGAGTGAGCTGGGGGACTCTTGGGTGTGGGACGCTTCCAGGCGACCTTTCTGGCTCCGCAGAGCCTGCTGGACAGGGGCCTCCCAGACACTGCAGAGGAGCCTGGGGCTGTTTACAGCTTACTGGCCCGGAGGCTGCGGCTGGCATCTGGCTCTTTTATCCTCCAGTCCTCTTGTTTGTTTTTGTTTTTGTTTTTTTTTGATACCGGGGATTGAACTCAGGTCCTTGTGCTTGCAGGGCAGGCCACGGAACCGCTGAGCTAAATCCCTGGCCCTAGTCCTCTTGAATTAAAGTCCTAGTGCGGCCGCCAGTCCTCCTGTGATCTGTCTCCCATGCCTGGGCTCTTTGCCTATCAACCATTACCACTCTAGTCTGATCCACCCCTACCTTGCTGCCCTCTCCTCTTTGCTGGTCTTCCAGCTCAACTTCGCCCCTTGCTGCTTCCTTTTCCCACCAGCGAAGGGGGCTTTCAGTGCCCTCGTGGAGCTTGTCAGCCCCGATTCCATCGTCCCCTGCCTCAGTGGCTCCCCCAAACACCGAAGTAGAAACAGCTAGCTTCCTGTTCCTGCCTGGGATGCCCTAACTCCATAACTCCAGGGGAGGGCACCTGTGGCTGGTGGGAGGGACACGGACAGAAGCTGCAGGTAGG